CAAAAATAAAAAAAGCTTCGATAAAAATAAAAAAAATAAAAAAGATACATTTCTATAAAAATAAAAAAACCTGAAGATAAAAAAAATAAAGTAAACATATTTCTGGCGAAAATAAATGTATACAAAACTAATAAAAAGCTTCAATATAAATAAAAAAAAAGTTACACTCATATGAAAATAAAAAAACCTGAAGATAAAAAAAAAATAAAGTAAAAATATTTCTGGCGAAAATAAATGTATAAAAAAATAAAAAAAGCTTCAGTATAAATAAAAAAATAAAAAAAAACTACGTTTATATTAAAGTAAAAAAACCTGAAGATAAAAAAAAATAAAGTAAAATTATTTCTGGCGAGAAAAAATATATCAAATGCAAACTCAGAGTAACGTTCAGCTGAATACGTCTAGGTCACTCGGTTTTCCTATTATCACCGGTGGGTATCCATCTGACTCTCTGCAGCGAATTTTTCCTCCACTGAACCAAACATATTTTATTTTAGCAGTTAATTTCTTCTGCCTGGCTAACCAATAGAGGTGCTTGTTGGTGGGCGTCATGGCTTCACTTACATATACGCGGTGCGAGTCATTCTCACTCCAGCCTAGATGTCTTGTGGAGAAATCTCTCTTAGTTCTTCGCTGCCACACTAACTCATCTTTCACCGTCTGTCTAACAAATCTTGCAATAATTGGGCCTGGTGTTCCTTCCTGCTTGGGCTTAAGTCTTACGGCGTGATCAAGATCTTCCGGACTTGATCCTTTCCGCATCGCACGGGAGGTGGCGTCGGATTATATATCCATGACAGCCTTAAGGCCAAAATCCTTCTACAGTCTCCTTATCATGATTTTCCTCACATAGAATACATGTTCGTTGAAATCACCTCGCTTTCCTCTCCTCTGTTGTATGCCGTAATTTACCGCCCTCCTCGTGTTCCATTTGACAACCTCTTTGAATCTTCCCTCATTAACCTGGTCTCCAACTACACCAATATTATTATTACCGGTGATTTTAACGTGAACATGCTTTCACAATCTCCCGAAAAATTTTTTCTTACCGACCTGTTGTTTTCAATCTTCATCTTAATCTTCATCAATCTTAATCTTCATCTTGTTCCTTATTCTCCTACCCACCACACGCAATTTTCCGATACTTGGTTAGATCTTTATATCTCTGACTCCCCCATCAAAATCCTTTCTTCTTCTCAACACCCAGTTCCATTTCTTTCATCACATGACCTGATCCAAATTACATACGACCTACCCGTAAAATCCTTCACTCCCAAAATAGTTTCATACCGCAATTTAAACCTTCTTTCCTATGAATCCCTTCAACCAGACCTTAATTCTCAGCAATGGGACACCATATATTCCTACAACTCCATTGATCCTATGGTATCCATGCTGACCTCAAACCTACAATCTATATTAGAAATCCACGCTCCTCTGAAAACCAAAACCTTACGCCGTCCCACTGCGCCTTGGCTGACCCGTGAGATAAAGGAAATGATGAGGGGAAGAGATGCAGCAAGGCGCAAATACCGTCGAACCCGTCTAGCTGTGGATTATGTGTCTTTCAAGGCGCTTCGCAATGGGACCCAATCCGCAGTCCGTCTTGCTAAAACCACCTACTTCCATAATGCCCTGTCCAATGCTCCCGACCCCAAATCTAAATGGAAAATACTCCGCAACCTATCCCTACCAGAGTCCATTAATCGTAGTTCCTTCGATCTTTCTCCAGATGATTTCAATAACCATTTCTTATCCTTTACTCACTCTTCCTCTCATACTTTCGACATTAAACATCAAAAATTCAATCCTGAAGACTTCTTTTTCTCCCACGTGTCCTATGATGAATTACTTTCCACCATCCTAAAATCCCACACCAATGATTATGGTCCCGACAATATTCCTGTAAAACTAATAAAATCCACCCTTCCTGACCTTATTCCTGTTCTTTATCATATCTACAATTTTTCACTGCAGAACTCCATATTCCCATCCTCCTGGAAAACCGCCCTAGTCCGACCTTTGAATAAAATTGCCAATCCTACCTCACTGCACGACTTCCGTCCTATTTCTCTCCTATCCAACCTCTCAAAGCCGCTAGAACGCCTTATCCAAAATCAGCTCTCAAACTTCCTAGAGGAACGTTCCTTTATCAACCCATGCCAATCTGGCTTCCGACCCGGCTATTCAACGCAATCTGCTCTCCTTAAAATAACCCATGACCTACAAAACTCCATTGAACACCAAAATCTTACTATCCTCATCCTTCTAGATTTTTCCAAAGCGTTTGATACAGTTGACCATAACATCCTTCTTACCAAATTGCAAAACCTTCCTCTATCCAACAGTGTCCTGCATTGGTTCAAATCCTTCCTTTCCAATCGATCCCAGTATGTAGTAGTCCCTGATCAACCTCCTTCAAACACACTTCCCCTCTCCTGTGGTGTCCCTCAGGGTTCCTCTTTCTCTCCTACTCTGTTTGCTATTTACATCAATGATCTTTCCCTCCAGATCCGTCACTCCCGACACCACATCTATGCAGATGATTTCCAAATATACCTTTCCTTTCCGCCCTCCGACCTATTATCTGCCACAGAAAAACTTCAAGAAGACTTAGATGGAATTTGTGACTGGGCAAGAACAAACAAGCTGAAGTTGAATGCGGATAAGACAAAGGCAATCTTAATAGGCTCCAATCACCTCCTTAAAACTGTCCCTACTATTCCAACTCTGTTCCTACATAATAACCCCATCAAATTTCACCCCACCATCAAAAATCTTGGAATAACCATTGATCAAACGCTTTCTTGGAAAAATCATATATCCAATATTTCCCGCCGTACCATTTCCATCCTAAAACGTCTTAACTACTACCGTCACCTATTTCCTTTTGAAACCCGTAGGCTCCTAGTCACTTCCTTAATTTTTCCCCACTTTGACTATTGCTGTACGGTATATGGGGGCCTCTCTGGGGATCTCGAGGCGAAACTTAAACGTTTGATAAATTGCTTTGTACGATTCATCTTCGGGATCCCAAGGGACGCCTCTGTTTCCCATCTTTACGCGGAGTTAAATTGGCTTTATCCTTCCTACCATCGTAAGTATTTCCTGGCATCCTTCCTCTTTCAAGTCATCCAATCCCACCGTCCCTCATACATCTCCGAGCTCCTTCAATTCAAATCCTCTGTTCGTTCCCGCAATACTCGTTCCCGGTCTTCTGATTTATACATAAGGGCCCACCGAACCGCTGGTTTCGACAAATCGTTCATTATCCAATCCTCATCTCTATGGAACTCCATCCCTTCCCATATCCGTCAATCTAATACCCTTCCTACCTTTAAATCTCGCCTGTTCAATCATTTCTTATCCATCCAGTCCCCATAAAATCGTAAATAGATACTACTGAAAATATGTACATAAGTTATTAGTTCGTTCTTCATTATTTGTTCTCCAATTTTTGTTTATCTATTTTTTTTTCTCTTTTATTATCAACTGATCAAAATTGGAAAGCAGCTTATATGTATATGTGTATATATATATATATATATATATATATATATATATATATATATATATATATATTATTTTTTTAACCAAGACTGTTCAATTACTCTGTATTTTTATTTATATATCTCTGAGGCTCCTTAGCCCTCATTTCTGTCTTCCTGTATTATTCTAAAGGGACTCGTCCCAGAATAAATAAAGTATTATTATTATTATTATCTCTTTATTTTTCACATATACAATGGTGTTTAAATTATGTAATAGTTGGGGACCTATTAGGTCAGCCAAAAATTACATTTGTATATTTTCTTAATTATTTTATATTTGTGAACTTCCTGACAATATTTGCTGTTCCCAACAACACCGCTTGTTGCATTCTTTCGATCGTCTGAGATGGTAGTTCTAGTAGTCGCAGAGAAGATACAGTTTCTTCAGGTATCAGTCCGTTGCACGAGATTACAATTGGCAGAATTCGGGTTTCCTTCAAATGATATAATTGTTTGATCTCTTCAGCCAATTCTACGTACTTTCTCTTTTTTTCCGCTACTACCTTGTGTAGGTTATCATCAGAAGGAACTCCAATCTCTATGATAAACGCAGATTGCTTACTTTTATCTATTATAAGAATGTCTGGTCTATTGTGGGGGATAATATTATTATTATTATTATTATTATTATTATTATTATATTAAGAAACTTTTTAGATCTCAGAACTAGCACCATGGGTTTGATATCAGTATGGTAAAAATCAACAATTATGTTCTGCATAATGTTTTTCTATGTTCTCTATGTTCTCACCATGTGTTTTCATTTTAATTTATTTTTAACCTCCATTCCTCTGCCAAATTAAAATTCTATTTTACTTAACAGTGGAAAAATTGAAGATAAAAATATATTTCATTTATATATTTGTTTAATAAGAAAATTTAAATATCAGTGATTGTATAAAAAATATACAGAAAAGCAATGAAACTGACGGATGTCCAAAGGGAATTTATAAAACAGTATGGTTTGGCCTTTTCTTATTTGAGGTGTATTGTAAATGTATTTTCATTTTAATTTGAGAATTGACTTTTCATAAATAGTTATGAAATTAATATTACAGGAATGTGAGAATAAGAATGAAGAAAGATTTTATGACAATTATACAAAAAATAATATAACATAGAGGACAAGATAATAATGTTAGTAGAAATTTTATTCATTAAGTTGACCTTTTGAAATTGTATAGATTTTTATTTTATGTGCTGTTACATCTTTTACATATTTATTTGTGATTAATGTATTGTAATATTATAGGGAAATAATTCGAGTTGAAAATTGGGAAAATTGCCTGAAATGTCGTCGAAAAAAATAAAAATGAATTGAAGCATGGAGAGAAAGGGTTCAATTATGTTTTTCCTCGAAATTATTAATTTTATTAATGAATTAAAAATACCCTTGAAAATTTGTAAGATTTTATAAAAAACTATGACGGATTCCTTGTTGTGTTTCAGATCGTTACGATGCCCCAGAAACACACTTCACATGAACCTTTTCACTGCGTTCGCTGCAAACAACTTCTTGTGGCTGCTGTGGTACAGGCTAATAGTGCCGTACCCAGAAGTCGTCATCGAAAATGGGGTAAGATGAACCGGCATGATACATATAAGGAATAACAACATTGTATGTTGTTATCAATACTACCATCTTCTTTCTTGGAATATATAAATACTAATTAGAAACACAAAATACAAAAGCAAAATGGTCAATTATGTATTGATTGGAACCACAAGTTGGCTCTATTTCATAGATATAAAATTTCTGATCAAATCAAATTTAACATTTTTAGTCTTCTTCCTCAACGTTTTACTACAGAAGTTTACGATATTTTTCAACTGTTTTATTGTTATTTCGTTCGTTTTGCTGTTGATGTTTTTTTGCTGTTTTTCAGCATTTGACAGCTTGCCAGGTTTGATATATAGTCGCTTTCCAAAACCTATCCAAATATTATTCAATAAAACAGTTTCACAGCTGTTGAAATTGAACACATAGTCAGGGGATAAGTGAAGATAGAGTTGGATGATTATGTAAAGTCTGAGACTGAGAATTGGGTTATCATGTGAAGGAATGCAGGCATCCTATTGTTGGTAGCATCGATATCGAATCTTCAGGTTTATCTTTTTGGTTTATTATTTTCAATAATCAACCATTGTGAACAAAAAAATCAAAAACTTAACCCCCTCTCAAAATTTGAGGTTTCACGTTTCAGGATGCGTAGAATTCAAAAACGAATAACAATTTTTTTGTAAGGCCGCCGTCCGCCGTCCGCGCATTTTCACCGATTTTTTTCAAATCTGGATATAAAATCAGAGGTCACCCGAGGATGATCCTCCTTCATCGAAATTATTATCCGCCTTTTACTTTGAAAATCGCGGCCGAAAAACCTGCGTTGCTATAGACTGTAGCGCCTAAACGAGTTTAGCGATTTCAATGAAACTTCGCTAAAGTCATTTTCTCTACGCCTTTTAAATTTATCTGTATAACATACTTCAACGAAAATAAGCTGGAAAAAAGTTAAGAGGGATGATAAAATTTAATTCCGAATAACTCAAAAAGTATACACTTTAATGGTTTTTAAAAGTTTACGAAATATCCCCAAAACCAAAAAAAAGTCGTTAAAATCTGACAATTAGGAGCAAAGATATGGTCTTCGGTTTTTTTTTTTTTTAAATATTTTCTACTGCAAATGTTATATCCTTTGTTTGGTTTTTAAATTTTAAATGTATTACTGAAGTAATGCTATTTTTTTTTAAATATTACTAATGATTAAAAAAAAAAGTTTAGTCCAATAATTGGAATCACCTTTTATTTTTCTTTGTAACAATAAGGTAATGTTACTTTATATGTATAATTGTTTGAAAATAATAAACTATTGTGGAATAATTTGCAGCTTTTTTTTTTGTATACTATTTTAATAGATTGCTAAAATCCGTCTAAAACTTCGTATTAGCATTATCACATCGCAACTTACAACCTTTTTATCTGAGAAAATTCTTGGAAATTTCACAGATATTTTCAATGCGGAGATCGTTAAATTTAGCCTATTGATTAATTCATTCACGAACTTTTTGCCGGATGTTAATATTCTGATAAAAGAGGGTATGTACTGCTGGCTATCAACTTTATAACAAGAAGAAAAATCATAAATTAAAAAGAAAAAAAAAAAATGACGCAGACTTATTTCTAGTGGAAAATGTTTGTTGACATACTTCTTGAAAAAACGTTCAATTTTAATAAAGCCAGCAAAATTTGACACAAAGTGTGTTTTAATTATTTTGACCAGGTTCATCAAAATAAATCAAAAAGAAATTAAAGATATATAACAAAATATCTAAACAAAAAACATTTAATGAATTATAATTCAATGGATTGGAAGATGATGGGATTTCCAGATTGGTCGGAAATGCCCTCCTCCCAGCAGGAACGTCCATCCACGTAAGGTTAACATGAAATCTGGTCTTGACATGTTGCATTTGTTTGGAAATGTAGATTGTGCTGTCGGAATCTAGTTCGCTTAGGATCATCCATCCTGGCACAGTCTATTCTCTAACTTTTCTCGTTTCTTTTTTTTTAATAAACTATTTTAGATAGTCATGTGGCACATTTGATGAATTCCCTTTTCCACGTAGGTTCTCAAGAACCAATTACAAATAGATAATTTATTTTGTATGTATTAATTGCTATAACAATAAGTAATATATTGTACAGTGCTAATTAGAATATTATAAGCAATATTCCAACAATATTGCCCACCTATTTCAATGTAATAAATATCGTAAAGAACGATTTAAACTAAAAATTGAAAACATCAACCCATATGAAGAAATTGAAAAAAAAATGCTTAACTATATTAAACTAATGAAGTTAACGAATTATATATGAAGAAGAAAATTGTCGCTAATAGCCACAGCAGTTGAAGCAACATTAAAAAACCGCAAAAAAAAATGTCAAACCTAATGAGAAAAATATCGCACTACTTTTATTACTCTTAGCAGAAATGGGAATTTTCAAAGGGGAAATGAAAGTAAAAATTATAAACGCTATACTGATTTGCATTTCATTGTGAATATTTTTATTTGTTTAAGTATCCTTATATGTACAAATAATAATATTTATATCACTGTAATCTATACAATTAAATATTAAATAATACCAACGAGAACATTTAGGAAAACCGCATATGTACATAATATTGTTGGAGTCCGCATTATATTAAACTCATCTAATCTTCGGGCGAAATCGTATTCCTTTGGTTCCTTCATTACAACTATTCTCCGTTACGTCCCTTATTTCGCCTTTAATTAATTATCAAATTCTTTTATATTTTATATTTAACTATTTTTTATATCAGAGATCAATGTGAAATGGTTAATTGTTTCAAATAATAAAAAATAAAGGTACATTAGGAGAAGCTAATATTAAAAATTAACCATTTAAGCCCTGTTAGAGAACATCATATTAAACACTGCTTAGTTTTACACTGATATAATGAATTTAATCAAAATCGTGATAGTCGTTTTCCGCGTATCGTATATAGAAAATCGTAAAAATATGTTATGTCGATAAAGTAATGTTTTACATCGATGATATACAGTGTCACTTCCGGTTAACCGATTTTGCCATAATATTCCAGTTGCTGTAATATTCCAGGCATATAAAAACCTTAAATATACAATTTCACTTTCGTACGACTTTTCATTTTTGAGCTAGACTGTTAACACACACATACAAACAGACCATTTTGCAGGACTTGGTTATTTGGACTCAAGGAACCTCAAAACGTGTATTTCCGTTGAAAACTGAGATTTGAAAATCTTCACGATCTCAATACTTTCCTTTACTATATATTTCATATATAAGTAAACAGTTGTTCTATAAGTGACTATAACTATATCTACCACACGAAAATTTTAACCAATGCTTAACAGCGGTGATATCATTTTTTTTTTTTTTTTTTTTTTTTTTTTTTTATTGAATTATAATACAATCAGCCACTGTTGGAGGGCTATAAGTATTAAGGCTAGAAGTTCTCATTCATACAGTATATACAAGTAATACAGAAGTAACTATAAATATAAGAAGTAAATAAATAATACTTATAAAAAAAAGAAGAAAAAAAAAGTAATCAATAGGAAAAAAATAAATAAATAAATCAAATTAAAAAAAAATAAATAAACAAACAAAATAAAATAACAACTTCTAAACACATTCATACCTATATACAATATATACATTCGCCCAGGAATCTCCGAGCCAGGCCTTTCTCCCCACATGTGGAAAGCAAAGCAGGACTCCAGAGATCCCAGTGCCACTTTTCCAGCCGCATCACTAGTATTAAAAGCCAGTGGAGGCTGAAGGAGGGCACTAGAGCCACAGATGCTCAGGACTTGAGTGGAGAAGCTGGCCATTGCCAGGACTCCAGAAGCATATTTACAATAGATCTCGCGGCCACTGCCGTTTTAACCTTCGAGGGGGATTGTAGGGATGGTGGGAGCTGGATAGGGATTGAGCTAGAGGATTTGGATGATGGATAAGGTTCTGGTGAAAGTTTGAGAATCTGGATGGGATGATGTCGAGGACAAATGGGATGTTAAGGTCATGGTGTAGGGTCTTATTTGTGACATAATATGGGGCATTGACTATTGTTCTAAGTACTTTGGACTGGAAGGATTGGATGCGTTTGATATTCGAATGTTTAGCAGTTCCCCACAGTTCAAGTCCGTAGGTCCAGATAGGTTTCAGTATTGTCTTGTAGATTAAAAGTTTATTTTCAATCGAAAGATGAGATGTCCTGCTTAGTAGTCTATATAGCTGGCCATATCGTTGGTTAAGTTCTTGTCTTTTAAGTCTTGTATGTGGGTTCCAAGTTAGTCTTTTGTCTAGAAGGAAGCCAAGGTAACGGACTGTATCTGAGTAGGGAAGTGGTATTGAATTGAAAAGGATTGTGGGACAGGATCTGCGTCGCAGGGTGAAAGTAATATGTTTGCATTTTGCTTCATTGATTTTGATGCGCCAGTTGTTGCACCACTGTTCAATCAAGGAGAGGTGAGATTGTAGGTTTAGAGATGCTATTTGAGGATCTGAGTGGGAAGATAGAATGGCAGTATCATCAGCAAATGTAGCTAGGAAGGTATCGGGATTTGAAGGGATATCGGCAGTGAAAAGGATGTAGAGAACTGGACCCAAAACACTGCCTTGTGGAACACCAGCCTCAACTGGATAGTAAGTGGAGAATTCGGTGCAGCAACGGACTTGGAAGGAACGATTTGAGAGATAGGATTTGAGGACTAGGTATAAGGATTGGGGTAAATGGGTTTTGAGCTTGAAAAGCAAGCCATCGTGCCACACCCGGTCGAAAGCTTGCGCTACGTCCAGAAAGGCACCAGTGCAATATTGCTTGTTTTCAAGTGCAGAGGATATATGGTCCACAACACGAAGGCCTTGTTGGACAGTGGAATGTCTTGAGCGGAATCCAAATTGATGAGAAGGGATGTTGTGGGATTCGAGTATGGGTAGGATGCGTTTGAGGAGGATTTTCTCAAAGATTTTTGAGAGGATAGGGAGTAAGCTTATCGGTCTGTAGGATGATGTGTTATTAACGGGTTTGCCTGGTTTTGGAAACAGCACGATTATGGAATGTTTCCACACCAAAGGAAAGTTGGTTGTGCGAAGGATGCAGTTGTATAGATAGGTAAGGAATATGATTGCTTTTTTGGGAAGTTGTCTGAGGATTTGTGAAGTGAGGAGATCATATCCAGGGGATTTTCGGGGTTTTAATTTGTTTATGAGAAATTTTACCTCAGAGGGGTTAACAGGTTTTGGAGGTAGAGAGAGAGGAATTGGTGAAGAGAGAAATTCTTTAACTTCAGCAGTGTGGGTGGGATGGAGTTCGGGATGGGGAGTGAATGTGTAGGATAGATGTTTAGCAAACTCTTCAGCTCTATTCGCATCTGACGAAGCCCAGGAACCATCATCACGGCGGAGGGGGTGGG